GCGCACACAACGCGCTGCGTGCTGTTGCGAGCGCCTGAGAGCGAGGGGTGTCGGGTAGACGGCCCCCTGTGCTGCTGTAATGCTCCACCCTGGCGGGGCGGGGCAGGGGACCCTCACGGGTGCGGGGGCCCCCACAACCCCGCACTGCAAACATTTCTTGTCGCGCTAAACGACGATAACTATGACTAATTTTCAGTGTCTCCGCGTGTTTTCTTGTTAACAGTAAAGGGGATGTGATGAGAAGACCCATAATTAATCGAATATCTCTGTACTAAAAAGTAACCATGGTATTGTCGTCATCGGGATGAGAAAATTTTGCTGTGCGCAGCCCTCCCCAGTCTGACCTCCTGCGCCAGGCCAGGCCGCGGCCGATACGCGACCGGGACGGGAACTGAAAATATTTCACGCGCTAATCCCCCCGCTATATGCTATCGGATGGGGTGGGAGGGACTCGTCTGCCACCCCGGGTCGGGGTCGGGGCCGGACTAGCAGTGTCCGATTGTCGAACCCGGGTCGCAAGTAATTGCGAATAAATTGGTGGCGAGAGGTGGGCTGCGGGCTGTGGGAGGGAGGGGGCTGCCGACCTCCACACGAGCTGGGCTGTGGTCCGGGGCAACGGTGTCCGCCGAGCTGACGCCGCTGACAGCTGAACATGAACAGACCTACTGAACCACGGAGCGAGACATCGGTTGGATAGGAGTGGACGTGCTCTGGAAAATGGCAAACAAAGAAAAAACACAACAATAATATAGTATACATCTAACAATAAATAACACGTAATGATGAGTTTTGGGAGGTGGGGGTGGTGGTTGCAAAAATGTTGAAATTGGACTGAAGAAGTACATAAAAGTACGCGATGCCTATTAAAGGAAGCTCGTCATTTTTCCAATTTCCCTCTCCTCACTGTGCGAATGGCCAGGCATGCGTGCGGGAGGGACAGCTGCTCGGCGGCCCCACGGCCCTCTCTCTCGCACTCACAGCCCCGGCCGGACCCGGATGGACGAGCACGATATTCTCCGCTCATTTTACCGACGAACTTTTACCCAACTCGGACCCCTCCTCTCCTCCGCCGTGTAAAGGAGGGAGGCCTCTCTGCGAGCGCGCGGCGAGCGGCGGGGAAGTGCGCCCAATTATTCCGTGATTAGTCTCATTGTGCGGGTTTTAAAGTTTACGTCGTTGTTGTTTGCCAAGGCCGCAGTTTATTCATTAAGCTGACTTGGCAGATAGCGGCGCGCGGCGGGCTTCGCGGAGCAGGTGGCGCAGCTGCTGCGGCTGCTCACAGGCAGGTGCAGATGGTAGTGCTGCTCGCACGCTGCTGGTTGGTCGCTCTAAGCGAGGAAGATGCACTAGCTGGTCATGGGTGAATCTTGCTCTGGGCAGTGTGTGTTTGACGTGCGCTGGAGACTGTCCGGTACCCGCCCGGTCGGAGGCGGAGGGGGGGGG